ATATCTGTGATCTATTTGCATCTTTTCCTACAACTGCAATCCACAATTCTTTCATAATAAAAAGTTAAGTTTTAAAGGGGGGTATTAATTCCATCATGAGGGTTCCACCCTGAAGACCCAATGACCTCCCAAAGGCTCCATCTCCAAATGCCATTACATTGAGATTAGAATTGCAACATATGAATTTAGGGAAGATACAAACATTCAGTCATAGCAGTGAGTGAAGACAGGTCAGTTGCCATTTGGAAAATTATTATATGTTATTAAGTGTCTATACTAAAAACACTTTTCTCACTAAAAGCCACATGATCATGAGGTCACATTCCAAAATTGCAAAACACAGGAGTAAATAGGAAGCTACATAAGGAGATAATGTAGTTTTTATTGGCTGCCTTCTCTTATTCCTATAAAGAAAAATAAAACTCCAATATTTAGATATTGCAATTATTGAAAGTAGGTTATAAAATAAAATTTTGAAGATTTATAAAGAAATAAAAGAGAAAACTTTCAAAAATACATGGTCTCAAAAAAACAAAACAAAACAACAAAAAAAAACCACAATCTATATCTTGCCCTCTCCCCTTCAAACAAGTTTTGAACTCTTTATAACTTTGGCTTTAACCATGTTTTACAGGCTTAAGAAAAAATTTTTAATTTAATAAATTGTTATTGTTTAGATTATTATAATCTTTCCTCTTTTTTACCCCCAAAGCTCCCCTTTAACCAGTTCCCACCTCACTCTATGCCCTTATTTCCCCCACATTGTCCTCATTCATACGTGTATAATTTTTATCCAGTCTCTTCCCACACCCCACATACCCCTTTGCCCCCAAGAATTGTCAGACATTCCCTTTTGATGCCCCTGATTCAACTAGATTCACCAGTTCATTCTATTATCAGATTTTTAACTCACTTGAATTTTAGATTCATCTGTTGATAGATACATATTTGTTGTTCATAATTTTTATCTTTACTTTTTTCTTCTTCTTCCTCTTCTTAAAGAGTACCTTTCAGCATTTCATATAGTATTGGTTTGCTAGTGATGAACTCCTTTAGCTTTTTCTTATCTGTGAAGATCTTTATCTGACCTTCAATTCTAAATGATAGCTTTGCTGGGTAGAGTAATCTTAGTTGTAAGTTCTTGCTATTCATCATTTTGAATATTTCTTGCCACACCAATCTTGTCTGCATAGTTTCTGTTGAGAAATCAGCTGACTATCTTATGGGTGCTTCCTTGTAGGTAACTAACTGTTTTTCTCTTGCTGCTTTTAATATTCTCTTTTTGTCTTTTGCTCTTGGCAGTTTAATTATGATGTGTCTTGGTGTGGTCCTCTTTGGATTTTTTTTTTTTTGTTGGGAGTTCTGTGCGCTTCTTGAACTTGTAAGTCTATTTCTTTCACCAGGTAGGGGACGTTTTTCAGTCATTATTTCTTCAAATAGGTTTTCAGTGTCTTGCTTTCTCTCTTCTTCAGTCACCCCAATAATTCAGATGTTGGTACTCTTGAAGTTGTCCAAGAGGATCCTTACACTATCTTCATATTTTTGGATTCTTCTTGCTTTTTCCTTTTCTAGTTGAGTGTTTTGGTTCTTTGTATTTTAAATCTTTGACTTGATTCTTGCGTTCCTCTAGTCTGCTGTTAGGTCTCTGTATATCTGTATAATATTTTTTATTTCAGTCAGTGTAGGTTTAATGTCTAATTGGTCCTTTTTTATATCCTCCAGTGTCTCACTAAATTTATCAGCCTTTTCTAGGAAATTCGTGAAAAACCTTAAAACCGTGAGTTTGAACTCTATGTCCAATTGTTTGTTTTCCTCCATTTCTTTCCTTTATGATCTTTTTTTTTTTTTTTTTTTTTTTTTGTCTTCACCTTTTTACTGCTTTCCTGAGTTGGTAGGGTAGCTTTGTGTGCTAGGTGTCTTATATGGCCCAGTGGCTGAGCCTCCCCAGTTACCTGAGGTGAACACTCTTGGTGCACCCCTTTGTGGAGAGTGTGTACAGCCTTGTTGTAGTTAAGTCTTGATTGTTGTTGGTGTCACTGAGAAGAATTGACCTCCAGGCCAATTGGCTGTGAGGATCAGCTGTGTCTATGCTGGGAGAACTTTTGTCTTATGAGACAAGACTTGCAAAATTGCAAAATCCTCTGTGCTCAGCTTGGATGGGGCAGAATCTCATGGCTGAGCAGACAGTCTTAGCTTTCCATCAGGCCTGCCCTATGAGGCCCCTGGGTCTCAATGTCCCATGGCAATTGCTGCCATCCTTTCTTCACGCACTTGTGTGCATGCTTCCAGACCTCTGCTTTTCAAGTCTCTCCTGAGTTACCATGTGCTCCTCTCTTTTCCCAACAATCCAGACTCCCCTTGTATGAGTCCGGTTCCCAAGGTCTCACCCAGAGATGTGGGTCAGTGCAATCAGAACTAGGGTTCAGTGCAGTCAGGAGCTTCCATCTCCCTCCCACTAGATAAATCCAGCCAAGCACTTAGCTGCCTGTCCACTCCTCCTGTGTGTCTCCATATCTCAGATTTTTACAGTTCCTCTGAGTCTCCATGTGCCCTGTTTTTATTATAGTTGTAGAATTTCCACTCAGTCAGCTTTCGTGTGGGTCTGGATGATGTCTGTTCTGTCTTTTAGCTGTAGTTTTGAAATTGTTGTGCAAGGCAGAATCTTAGGTGTTCATCTATGCTGCCATCTTGATTTCTCTGGGGATAAATATTGATAAGATATCTTTCTACCTAGGACATCTAACAGACTATCTCCTGGAGAGCAAACAAACTATAACTCTGGCATGTGATCAACTTTAGCCCAAAATTCTCTTCCCTTCCTTGTCACCAAGCAACAGCAGCCATTATTCTTTAAAAAATGAAGCCACCCTTTGTTTATTGTCCGGTATTAACTAGGGATACACTAGCCCTTTCCTCTTTTGGAAAGTAAAATAAACTTTTCCTTTGCATCACTTCTTTTAATTGTAAATTCTTTCACAGCCCACATTACTGGACAAACCCTAACAAAAGAGATATACATTATTAGAAAATGATGAGTGTTGGAGATAATAAGGACAAATTGAAATTCTCACAAAGTGTTAGTATGAATTAAAAATGGTTCAGATATTGAAAAACTGGTTCTTTGAAAAGATTATTGAAATTGATAAACTTCTATCCAGACCAGCTAATAAAAGAGAGGGCATGAATTACTAATATTAGAAATGAAAGATGGGTCATCACTACAGATACCAGGGACAATAAAATAATAACAAAGAAATGTTATTTGCAAATAAATGCTAAATGCAACTCTATACTCACAAATTTGATAATTTGGGTACAAAAATCACTTGAAAGACACTATCTGCCAAAACCCACACAAGAAGAGATAGATAATCTGAGTAGGCCTATATCTATTTATAAAATGGAATTAATAATTACTAATCTTCCAAAAGAATTGGTAAATTTTAGCAAACATTAAGGAAGAAATTATACCAGTTCTCTATAATATCTTTCAGAAAATAGAAACAAAGAAAACTAATTCTATGAGTCAAGTGTTATCCTAATATTAAAAATATAGACATTACAATAGAAAAAAGCTACAGACCAATATCTCTCATGGACACAAAGGCAAAAATCCTCAACAAAATATTAGCAAATCAAACCTACAATGTATAAAGACCAAGTGGGTTTTACTCCAAGTATGAGTGGTTCAACTTTCAAAAATCAGTTAATGCAATATCACATCAACATTCTGAAAAGGAAAAAAATCATTTATAAAAAAAACAAACAAACAAAAACACCCATTCATGTGTTAAAAAAAAATACCTCAAAAAACTAGGAATAAAGAAGTATTTCCTCCGCAGCATAAAGAATATCTACAAAATAACAACAATAAAATATACAGTTAAAGTCATGCTTAATGATAAGAAATTATAAGCTTACTCCAGGAAAAACACAAGGATGTCCCTTCTTGCCATCTCATAAAGTACTTCTCTTTCTCTGGTGGGTTTATTTCACTTGGTATAATAATCTCTAGGTCCAATCATACTGTCACAAAAGGTAAGATTTCCTTTATTATGGGTGAGTAGTATTCAAGACTCCATTTTGAATTTATGCTTATGTATGGTTTAAGAAGGTGGTCTAATTTCATTTTTTGCATGTTTCTATACAATTTTCTCAACACCGTTTATTGTATAAAGTATCTTTACTCCATTGTATGCTTTTGCCTGCTTTGTCAAATATTAATTGGCCATAAAGACCTCGGTTTATTTCTGGGCTCTGTGTTCTGTTCCATTGACCTGTATCTCTGTTCTCATGCCAGTAGCATGCTATTTTAATTACTATGGTCTTGTAGTGTACTTTGATATCAGGTAGCATGATTCCTCCAACTTTGTCCTTCTTTCTCAAGATTGCTAAGGCTATTTAAGATCTTCTGTGGTTCCATACACACTTTTAAAATATATATATTTTATTGATATTTTTACAGAGAGGAAGGGAGAGAAATAGAGAGCTAGAAACATCGATGAGAGAGAAACATTGACCAGCTGCCTCTTGCACACTCCCTACCGGTTATGTGCCCGCAACCAATGTACATGCCCCTGACTGGAATCGAACCTGGAACCTTTCAGTCCGCAGATCGACGCTCTACCACTGAGCCAAACTGGTTTTGGCCCATACACACTTTTAGAATATTTGTTCTAGTTCTCTGAAATACATTATTGGTATCTTGATATCAATTGTATTTAATCTATAGATTTATTGGCATTTCAATTATGTTAATTATGTTAATTCTTACTATCCATAAACATGATATATGCTTCCACTTATTTATATCCTCTTCAATTTCTTTCTTCGGTATCTTATAATTTTTTAATACAAGTCTTTTACGTCCTTTGTTAAATTTATTCCAAGCTGTTTGCTTTAGGGATTTGGGATGTAATTATGAATTGGATTTTTTTTTAGTTTTTTTTCTTTTTTCTGATAGTTTATCATTATGTATAAAAATACTACTGATTTCTGACCTGGCCGGTTTGGATACAGCGTCATCCTGCAGACTCAAGGGTCCCAGGTTTGATTCCAGTCAATGCATCTGCTTTGGTTGCAGGCACATCCCCAGTAGGGAGTGTTTCAGGAGGCAGCTGTTGGATGTTTCCCTCTCATGGATGTTTCTAACTCTCTATTGCTCTCCCGTTATCTCTGTAAAAAAACAATAAAATATATTTTAAAAAATACAACTGATTTCTGGATATTGATTTTGTTTCCTGCTACTTTACTGAATGGCCAAAATCCAGAATGCTGATAGTGCCAAATGTTAGCATGGACATAAAGCAGCATGAACTCTCATTGATTGCTGGTAGAAATGTAAAATTATATATGCAGTCACTTTGAAAGACTGTTTGGTGGTTTCTTACAAAACTAAACATATTCTTACCTATGATTCAGCAATAGCTCTCCTTGGTATTTATCCAAAAGAGGCAAAAATTTATGTCCACACAAAAACCTGTACATTAATGTTATAGCAGTTTTATCCATAATTACCAACACTTGGATGCAACCATGATTTATTCATTCAGTAGGTGAATGAATAAATTGCAATAGATCCAGACAATGAACAGTGTTGATAGCTAAAAAGATAGGAACTCTTGTGCCATGAAAAGACATAGAGGAAACTTGAATATATATGAAGTAAAGAAGCCGATCTAAAAAGGCTACATACTGCCGAGAGCGGTTTGGCTCAATGGATAGAGCGTCGGCTTGGGGACTGAGGGACCCAGGTTCGATTCTGGTCAAGGGCATGTACCTTGGCTGCGGGCATATCCCCAGTAGGGGGTGTGCAAGAGGCAGCTGATCGATGACTCTCTCTTATCGATGTTCCTAGCTCTCTATCTCTCTCCCTTCCTCTCTGTACAAAATCAATAAAATATATTAAAAAAAATAAAAATAAAAAAATAGAAATAAAAAGGCTACATACTGTACAATTCCAACTATATATGACATTATAGAAAAAGAAAAACTATAGAAACACTTAAGATCATTGGCTACCATTGTTTAGTGGGAGGGAGGATTAAATGGGTGAAACACAGAGGATATTTAGGGAAGTGTGACAACTCTGTATGATACTATACGGATGGATATATGACATAATACATTTGTCCAAAGCCATGGAATATATAAAACCAAGAATAAATCCCAATTTAAACTGTGAACTTTGATGAATAATAATGTGTCAATGTAGATTCATCAATTGTAATAAATGTAACACTTTCATGGAAGGGTATTGATAGTTTCAGATAGTTATGCATGTTTGGTGTTAGGAGGTGTATGGGAAATTGTTGTACATTCCTCTCAATTTTGCTTTGTGGAAAAAAAAACTGCTCTAAAAATTGTCTTAAAATATGCACACACAAAAATCACCTTTTTATAATCATTGAATACCTGAAGCAATCTCAGAGTGTTCTCCTTTAAACAAATAATGGAGTCATTACATTAATGGGTTTTAATTAATCCCTATTTAATTACATCTTTTTTATTGCTTTCTGTTCTCTGCCAGAACTCTACTACATCTAAATATTTCTCTATAGAATCTGCTTTTGAGTTAATTTCAAATGTTCTTCCCTCCCAATATCTTTTAGCTTTCCTAGGCACTAATTCCCTATCTGTTTCTTCTAATAATTGTTTTTCTTTTTTAACTAGACATAATATGGAAATGTGAAAGCCAGTTTTCAGAATGTTGTGGAACTTCTTGGGGATCATTGCAAAGAATGACAGAAAGGATTCAAAAGTTTGTTTCTAGCTGCGCAAGCCTGCTCTAATTAGAGAAAATTCACTCATATGATCTCCCTGTTTATATTTTTGGAAAGGAGTCCATTTGAATAAAGATTTCTGGTGAGAGTATAAAATCATTATTTGAATTAATTATTTATCATGTATCTACTGTTATGTTTCCTGACCCTCATTTTCTGAAACAAATTGTATCCATAAATTTCTTGCCCATATTTTAAAATTCAAAAACTCAGATAGAAATTTAGTGTTTTATTCTTAGCCTCAGAGATAGAAATATTCCAAATATTCAAAGAGAAATAAATAATTACAGAGCAGTAAATAATACGGTCCAAAAAGAAGAATTCAAGTGAGACAATGAAAATACAAACCAAACAACTGGGGAAACATTATACTTTTTTATTCCCAAAAGTTTAGTTTCACTTTATTCTAGTGTCAACAATATTACTCTGGACTGGGCTAGTCAGCTGGTCAATGCACCATTTAGGTAAGGTGAATCAGGAGGTATTTTGCTGGATAGTGCACAAATTTACACTTTTATTTGAACAAATCATTAAACATCTTATAAACATTTTATAAATGGATCAAGAGCATTCTCATCACTAAAGAAAGACATCTTTATTTTTGACTGAAAATGTCACAGCATCAGACTTACCAGGCCCCATGATAATGATGAAGATTAGTAATCTCAAAGTTGAAGTCATCCCCAAAGTATGCATTTGAAGTGATTTTCTTCTTTAATGCAAATTCATTGAAAATCAATCAATGGATTAAGTGAATCTCTCAGAAATTTAACAGGAAAGGTTGTAACTTTTCTTTACCATTTTTCTATCTTCTAATCTTTATCTTCATCTCCATTCTATGTGTTTTTCACTGATTAGCAACTGACAGGAAATGTCAGTGAGTTTTGTTTGGCCTTAGGGTAATGAGGGAGGAAGCATAGTGGCCAGGAGTATGACCACTCAAATAAGAGAAATAATTGGAGTGTGGGCTTAGCTGCACAAAAAAAGAGATCTGACCATCCTCCAGTCAATGACTCAAAATCAGGTGTAGACAGTATGATTATTTGGGGTATTTGAGTGACCCAAATTGTCACCAAATGAGGACCAGACCCAAAACTGATATGTCTGAGGCCAGCCTGCAGTGTGTGGGTTCTTGATTTCATGCAGGAAAGATTTCACAAGACCAGTCCAGGTGATTTTGAGAGTACATTTATTAAAACTAGGAATAGCAAAAAAAAAAAAAAAAAAAAAAAAAAAAGAACTTAGGATAAAAGATGCAACAGGGGAGCCTCGGTGGTGCTCAGCTCTGCTCCCTAGAAATGTTATAGGAAAGCCTCCCAAGGTGGGGCTGCTTTCGCTCTCCAGGAAGTCAGAGAAAGATGGGACCTCCAAGGCATGATTAGGGAGTAAACCTGGGATGAGCTGCTGCTGCCCACTGCTGCCCTGGTTGCAGGTTTTGTGGGGACTCTTAGATTAAAGAGAAAGAATGTAAAATGTTCATGTCCAAGAATATAGGTGTGCTCTAGAGAGAATGTCTGCCAAGTCTTTGTTTTGAGGGTTTTCATCTTTCTTATTCAGGCAAAAGCCCGAGGAGAGGGTTTCAGCAGAATATTCATCACCTTTTCAGGTTCATTTTTAAGATGCCTGTGCATCAAAATGAGCGTAGAGGGGAGTTTGGGATTATTATTTGATCAGCTTCAGTGTTTTACTTTTATCTTGGGTCTGTCTGACTCTAATCGGGTTTTTGTTATTTGTTCCCATAATTTCATCCATCTGTGGGTTTGGCTGGCACAAATGGCACTAATTGAGTCTCTGTCCTCTGTTTCCTTGACCAGGGTAATTTAAGCTATTTATTCTATGGTTAGGAAGGAGAGGTATAAACCATTTTTTCTCAAATGTCTTTGGTTAGGGGTGATAAGGTTTTGTAATTCACTAGCTGTCTACAGGTGTTTAAATTGTTTGCATTGTTCATTTCCCCATTCTACTTAACCCCATATTTTCTCAGCTTCTTTTTTTTTAATACATTTCATTGATTTCTCACAGAGAGGAAGGGAGTGGGATAGAGAGCTAGAAACATCAATGAGAGAGTTACATCAACCAGCTGCCTCCTGCACACACCCACCAGGGATGTGCCCACAACCAATGTACATGCCCTTGACCGGAATTGAACTTGGGACCCTTCAGTAAGAAGCCCGACGCTCTATCCACTGAGCCAAACCAGTTTAGGCTTTTCTTAGCGTCTTACTACCTTCCCTCAAAATTGGGTGTAGACATAATTTAAAAAATAAAATAAAAACTATATTAAAATAGACCCATTGATCTCCATATCAGTTTTGAGTTTGATTGTTCAGGGAATTTAAGTGGCTCAAATATTAGAGGAGATTTTTAGGGACTAATGCAAAAGTTACCCTAAACCAGTGGTCGACAAATTCATTAGTCAAAAGAGCCAAATATCAACAGTACAACGATTTAAATTTCTTTTGAGAGCTGAAAACCAACTTCTGCGCATGGGCCAGGAAGTTTCAATTGCACTGCATGTGTGCACCCGCATGTGGTATTTAGTGGAAAGGCCACACTCAAGGATGTGAGGGTGGTGTCCCTCAGCCCAGGCTGCATCCTCTCCAATCTGGGACCCCCTCGAGGGATGTCCGACTGCCCTTTTAGGCCTGATCCCTGTGGATCAACTCCATGGTCATCAGAGCCCAAAATTCCTCCAGTTTGCTTTTCCACAACATTAGTGGGTGGCTTCCATCCTCAATGTCCCCTTAGCCCAAGTTGGCTGCTGGATCTCCAGTCATCACATCAATGTTGAAGTCTAGGTGATATGGAAGAAAAGCCAAAGATGATTTCTACTCTATCTTTAAAGAGTTTTAAATCAAATGATTTTGCTTACATCTCATTTGGGAAATGTTTTTCTGGGTGGTCACACTCAGCTACAAGAGAAACTGAGGAATGTCTTTTAGCCAAGTATGCCTGCACACTAAATAAAATTGGAGTTATGTTGTTAAGCAATGCATCAGAGGCCTATGTCACAATTGTGCTGTGTAACAAACAACTATATAACCTCTGTGATAATAATTGCTCAAATATTTGGTAAACACGTATAAGTCAGAGTTCACGGTGCTCAAATGTCAGATGGCCAGCTCTTGTGATCCTACTGAGCCCATGAGGTGACTAGTTATTGGATTATCTAGACTGGCCTCAACGGTGAGAGGGTGGGAGGACCAGGGTAAAGTTAGCTCTGCTCTGCATGTTTCTCATCCT